TATTATTTGAACTGCAACACCCACCTGTACTCCCTCAGCATTGCTGATCAGTAGAATATAGGCAAAGGTTTGTGTCTGTTTTGAGTTAATTCATGTGTCGCATTCTTTAGAGTATACACACTGTCAACAATAACAAGATTACATTTGCATAGTGTCTTTCACGTCGGGAGGACATCCCAAGGCAGAGTACAGCATTTCAGACCTGAGCTGGGGTTGGGGCGGGGGGGAAGGGAGGGGAAGGGGGGTGGCCGATGGCATGGTCGAAGAGGAGTGTCTTGAGGTGGGACTTGAAGGAGACTAAGGAGGGGGCGAGGCGGAGTGACTGGGAGATGGAATTCCAGAGGTTGGGGGCAGAGTGGCTGAAGGTTCTCCCACCAATGTTGGGCGGGTGGGTCGGGGGATGTGGAACAGGCCAGAGCTGGCTGAGCGGAGGGAATGGGTGGGTTGATAGGGGGTTAGGAGTTTGGTGCAGGAGAGGACACGGGCTGCAGAGTTCTGGATTATCTGCAGCCTGTGGAGGGAGGAGTTGGGAAGGCTGACAAGCAGGGTGTTTGCATATAGTCGAGCCTGGAGGTGATGAAGGCATGAACAAGAGTTTCAGCGGCCTGAGGGGAGAGGTAGTGGCGGAGTCGGGTGATGTTACGGAGGTGAGGGAAGGCAGAGCGTGTCATGGCTTGAATGTGGGGGAGAAAAGACAGTTGAGGGTTGAACAAGACACTCAGGTTCCTGACTGGTTTGGTGAGTTGCAGTGAGCAACCATGGAGGTTGATGTTACCAGAGCCTGAGGTGCTGAGGCGCTGGTGTGAGCCAATCAGGAGGGCCTCAGTCTTGTTCACATTCAACTGTAGGAAATTTGCCCTCATCCTGGACTTGATGTCCGACAGGCAGTCTGTCAGGACAGCAGTGGTCCTGGAGTTGAGGGTGAAGGCAGAAAGATAGAGTTGGGTGTCATCCGCATACATGCGGACGTTGACCCCATGTCTGCGGATGATGTCACCAGGGGGAGCATGTAGATATTAAAGAGGAGAGGACCAAGGACAGAGCCCTGGGGGACGCTAGACGTGACAGTGCGGGGGCTGGAGGAGAAACCGTTAGAGGCAACAAAGTGGAGACGGTGAGAGAAGATAGGAATCGAACCAGGCAAGGGCAGGTCCGTGAAGATTGAGTAAAGCGGAGAGGTGGTGTATGAGGATGGAGTGGTCGACAGTGTCGAAGGCGGCAGAGAGGTCAACAATATCTGTTGAAACGTAAACCCTCTAAGTGTCACATTTGCTAGAAATTCTCCTTTGCTTCAAAGTACAGTCACTTCATATTACAGTAAATCTTATTGCAACATCCTCCCAACTTGAAATGTGCTAGGTTCAAATGCAAGGATTATTTACTAATAATAATTATTATAATTTTTGTGATTATACAATTACTAATTAAATGATGCAGTACTTCCCCAACACCGCACTGGAGCAACAGAGGAGACTGAGCTCAAAGTTCCCAATGTGGGTCTTGAGCCCAGAGTTGAGAGTGCTAAAACAGGATTCTTGATGAAGGACACTATTCAACTTTCTCGGCATTTAAACTTACACCTGAAGCATCCAAACTTGGAGAAAGTTTTGATTATCTAAATTCAGTTGAGGACTTGTCATTTGTTAGCAGTCAGTGGTTTGGAGGAAGCCCTTGGGCCAAAGGGCTTCATCCAAAACAATCTTATGATCTTATGACCTTTTAACTTATTAGTATTTATTTCTTCTCATTTTCTCCAATGATCTTGTGTTATTAGCCGATGTACAGATGTGAGTATTACATCAAGCTGCGTGCAGGCTTCTGTAAAACTGTTTTTCCCAACTTCCCCTCTCACTTTGAACTTCCTATTTATCAGCGTGTGTGCCTCATTGTTCAAAACCCGCTTCTGCATTAAGCTAGGTTTCCCTGAACAAAGATTAAGTAGCTCACAAATAAAACAAGATGCTTTGCTACAAAACCATTTCTCCAATCTACTGGGTTCTTGGATACATTTAAAAAAATACTTTTTAAAAATATTTATTCTGTGATGACATTAATAAACATTATCACAGTAGTACACTCTATAAGCAATCTATTGGTACAACGTACTGAAGCCAAATGATAGTGTGCACTTTACTAAAAGGGTAACAATAACAGGTTGCCAGGAAGAGTGTTTGATACCAGGACATCAGACTCAATTAAAAAGTAGCTTGATGCTGTGATGGGAGGATATTCTAAGATGAGATTGGATGGGCCAAAGGGCTTCAACCAAAACAATCTTATGATCCTGTGACTTTTTAACTTATTTTTATTTGTTTCTTTGTTCTCATTTTCTCCAATGATCTTGTGCCATCATTTCAGAATCTTGTGAAACTTGTGTCAGACAGGAAGGCTGGAGCTAACCCTTGTGAAAGGTCGGTATCCATCAACACCCAACTCTCCAGCAGGAGCCTCTACCTTGAGATCAGGAGCATGAATCCCGAATGAATATTAGCCTCCCAGTACTAGACTGGGAGAATTATTGTACAACCTCAGAAAATACTCTGACCCAATGATCCAGTATTGCACAATTCACAGTCAAATGGCTAACTTGTGTGCTATTTGGGATCTCAGAAATATTTTGCTTATTTTGTTAATTCATTGTAAAAAGAATATTGGATATACTGCATTTCTTTCTGAGACCTAGTGCATAACTATGTGCCCCTGTTTTTTTTAATTTGATGCATTCTGCTGTAAAATGCAAACACTTGGATCTAAAACATATTTCAGTTTACTCACTCTAAACCCAATAAGATGAGATATTTTGCTGGTCAGTAAGTTACTGACCTTGGTGGAATGGACGTAATAAAGGAAAATCCCTCACCTCAGGTGTCAGACGAGGTGAAATATAACATTCTGAAGCTTATGATAAAAATAACACATAATTTGATAAAGAGTCACCTATACTTCTCTGATGAAAATATACCATGTGATATGACTTTAATAATTGTACAGTCCATGATCAGATTTGAGTGCTGCAAAATGGCAGGATGAGATGCCAAGCAAGGGAGAAGGTGGAGAGCGAGGTGATCATGGACTCAGTCGAGAGGTAGGCCTTAACGTTTAAAGATAGATAAAGAAAGAGTGAGATATTACCGATATTATTATGTGGGGTGCCTTTCACCAACATGCAAACTACACCTTGTCCAAATATTAGCCCAATTCAAAATTCCTCTACCATCAAATCCTCCCATAGAATATTCCAGTGAGAGGAATTCTTTCAATTAAGTAACCAGTTTAGTTTGGATCAATTCCAGCTCTATAAATCAACATTAAAGTTAAAGAGTCCAAGGAAGTCAGGAGTGAGTGAGAAAAAGAGGTTCAGAGGAAGAAACAATCCCTCAATTTATAATCAAATTGTTCTTTATCTAAACTAAAATATTGGATTCTGAACTTTTTCTAAACTTATTGACGATTAAGAAGTGTTATATTAAGTCCCCCAAATCCAATTACTTTAAAGCCTGTCTACAAGTGACAGTAACTCAGTTTATAGTGCTAGTTTATATGTTTAAATGTGCCAAGACAGCAGAACAAGAGAAAACTAGTTTAGAATTGCAAAGAGTAATTTCAGGACAGACACCAGCGTAGATGTGGGAAATAGGGGTGCTGGGGGGGGGGCAGCTCCCTCTGACTTGAAGTACAAAGGTGCTGTGAACCTGCTATTGCCACTCTCTGCGAGGATGGTAGGTTAAGTATCTGGAAGTATGAAGTCATACAAAATGTTCTTGTGAGTAATGAGGTGTGTCTCCCCATTGGTCTCACTCTGAAAATAGAGCATTAAACTAGTGTTCTGATGGCTCTATAGGTAGCAATAGGATGTAGCACTAGGAGGATTCATGCTCCTGATCCCAAGCCTGTGTCCCTGCTGGAAGGTAGGAGTGTAGGTGGACATTGGGTGAGGGCAAGATTGGACACGGCTATGATGCCTGCTGACTGATCTTTGCATGTTTATTCACACATGAAAAACAGGCACTTACTTGAGATACCATTAGTTGGCTGGAACCTATGGATATTGTACCCATGACCTTCAGAAGAGGACGGCAAGAACATTGGGCAAGAAATTCAGACCCTCTTTCTTTGTTCACACTACCTGTGGCTCATAGAGTACAAACCTGCAATGTTACTGGAAATTATAATAAATTATAATCCTTGCATTTAATATAGCACTTTATCAAATTGTTGAGACTTCTCAAAGCACTTCACAGGATATACTGTAAAGTGAATTGACTTTGTATTTTGTGGGCGAAACGAGACAGCCACTTTGCGCACAGCAGTGTCCCACAAACAATCATGGAGTGAGTAATCAATTCTATTTGGGGTGTTTGAAGGATACTGGGAGAAATTCAAGCAGACAACACCCCCGATACTGCAACACACCCAACACTGCATTGGAATGTCACCTTAAATTATGCGATTCCAAGTCCCAAGGTGGGGCTTGAACTCAGAACCTCTGACTGAGGTGAGATGCTACCACTGAGATAGGCTGAAACATGAGCAGTGTATTCCCTCACACCATAAAACAAGGTGAGCTTCCAGGCTAAGACAAGATGGAATTTTGAAATGTCAGCCTTGGATTTGCATGTACAGTAGAGCCAGCAGCTGAAGGCAATAGGGATGATTCACTACCCAAAAATGTAATTTGAGCCTAAGTTTCATTCTGTGCTGATTTCGATGGTGAGCCTGAGTTACACGTATCATTACCTTTCTAACTTTGGTAAACACCTAAAATCTTAGAGATAAACAAAGTAAACACCCATTATTCAAAATGCAAATGCAAGGATTATTATTTAAGATTGCACAAGATAGTTTGTGTACATTCTTCCCAATCAGCTCCCAAGACGTGAGTCGACCTTTCTGATTTGCCTATTTTGTTGATGTTGTATCTGATAATTTGTTGTAAAGCAGGAAGTGAAGTGGGCGAGGCTGCTGCACAACGTGAAATTGACAAGAAGTTAGCGTTGTTCATCTGAGCTGCTCTTTCTGCTGCGATAGTGCTCAGCTTCCAATCCTGAAGATGGGTGTGACGATCTACTACACCACCATAACTGCAAGCACTAAGGTACTTTCCGATCTACTTGGATCATTTGCTTTGTTCCTGATGATTTTGTATTGTAGTTTTATTGCGTTTTGTAAGTGTCTGTCCAGCCAACCATCTGCTCACAACACCTCTTAGTCACAAGCCCAACTTCCACTTTTTGTGCACGACTGGCTTGGTAAATATTAGCTGTGATCATATATTGTTTTGAATCAAATTGAAGCGGTGTTCATTTTAAAATAAGTTAGCCTTTATATGAACTATTTTTTGCTGACCGAACATGAAATACTTAGTCAGACAATTAGAAAGAATGCAAATAGGCAAGAGCAAATTCATCCAATAAAGAATTGTCAATGTATTTGTTTGCAAAAAACCCACCTGTCTTAAACGATCATTGTGTTCATGAAATTCGTTTAAATACAGTATTTACAAGAACATTTTAAAAACGGGATTTCAAAATGGTAAGAAAAGGATGTATCTTTTTTCTCCAGAAATATGCAAGACTAGTTATCGAAAGACCATTTATGCTACGAGATAACAATATTCTTCCAAAATGCAAGAGCGTTAGAAGATTTTCATAATTTGAAGTTTTCCTACTTTTAGCTTGGGTGATGATATGGGCTGGAGAAGACATTTATGAAAACAGGTTGCAATGATAACACTTTTCATATACTCATTATTTGGAACTCATATAATCTAAATTAGGGTTCTCAAAATTTGTCAATGTGAGCCTCCCTAAATTAAGAAATGAACAATCTCACCTCCCCAAAGTTTACTAAGACAATGCAAAGACTCCTATGCTTCGCAAGAATATGAGTAACAAAGTAGAAGGGTTTTGATCAATGTAGTTATAATAAGAATATGAGTGTTACGAGTGCTGATTATACTTCATGAGGAACCTCCCGACGTGAAAGGCGCTCTATAAATGGAATCTTGTTGTTGTTGTTGTCTTATCTCACGGTTCTGTTCAAAAAGAGTACAAATTGCAGCAGCTGCAGCTGAAATAAAACTTAAAAAACATTTAGGAGATCATATTACCAGTTAATTACAGTTTATGCCAATACAATATCCATTAGTCCTACCTTATCAGTGAGAGGAGTGAGCCTGGTTCCTTGCTGTAGTGGAATTTGGGGTTGCAATGTAGAAAGATAGAGACGTTGGTTCACACCCCTGTTTATCAGCCTGGATGTCTTTTTAAACCCCCCACCCCGTGTTGTCTCGGGGATTGTTGTGGTGGGAAGCATGTCCCCAGGGAGGCGCGCCCCATAGTTTGAGAACCTCTGGTCTAAACTGACACTTCAGTGCAGTGCTGGGGGTGTATTGTCAGACACAAACCACAGTCACTTTACACTGTAAACTGTGAAGCACAATGAGACAGCTTCCCGATCTAAAAGGCACTATATCAAATGCCAGGATTATTGTTAGGATGAACTTCTTAAGGTATTACACAAAGACCATGAAGGCTCTGATCGGAGGCTGAGAGAGTTTCGAAAGCAGGGCGAAGGGATTTGAGAGAGTTCCAACAATGGTCTTAAAAACTAAAGGTGAGAAGGAGAGAGTGAGGAACAAGTAATAGACCAGAACTGGAAAAGTGGAGGACATGGGTAGAAAAATAAAACTGAAGGAGATTGAAATAAGTAGGGAGGGGCAGGGCAGTGAAGAAATTTAAGGGCAGCTTAAAGAATTTGAAGTTGATTTATTGTGGTACTGGCTGTAAGTAGAGTGTGGTGCGGATGGGGTTAATGGGTGGGTGGATAAATTACGGTCTGCGGAGCTTTGGATGAGCTGTCACTTGTGGAGAGTGATTGTGAAATTGTTTGTCCTATACACTTATAATTAACCTTACATTTGGTATAGCACCTTATCATAATCATCAACACGTCTCAAACCAAAATAATACTACTAATAATAGTAAACAGGTAATTTGTGTACAGGAATGCTTCACAAATAGCCATGAAGTCAATGACCCAAACTTATCTAGAGGATTTTTGGCCAGGATTCAGGAGAAACTAACTCCCTTCTCTTTTCGAATAGTGCCATGGGATCTTTAACGTTCTCGTGAACAGGCAGATGGGACTTTGGTTTAACGTTACATCTAAAGGATGGCACCTCTGACAAGGCAATGCTCCTCTAGCAGTAGTGTCAGGCTAGATTACAAGTTCAAGTCCCGGGGCTTGAATCCCCAACCCTCTGACCCAGAGATGAGTGTTACCAACCGAGCCCGGCCAACGCAAAAAGAAAGACTTAATATCCTAATATCTTGGTTTATCTCCTGTTATTTGGGAAACTGGATTCTATGGAGATGTGACCTGACAGATTTGCTAAATGTAGAGTTTATATGACCATCATGTTTGTGTTCACATCTTATAAGTCAAATCATTACTTCTCCTGATTGGGCCTTCCTGCCTTTTTAGCAATCAGAGTAAAAAAACAGGATCAACATTTTGCTGAACTAAATGTGTCTATCCGCCGTTACTATTTTGCAACACCCGGTGCTTAATATAGGAAGCAAATCCTGGTTTCATCTTCACTGTAAAAATGCAGTAAAACTAGTCTGATCCTTATTTTTGAAGTACATTTGAACATCATGCCCAGACATTTCTGGTGTTCTTTACTGTACACTTGCAATAAGATTTTGTGTTGTACCATTTTTATTTAGTTATTGGCTCTTGGTCTCCTTGTGGACATAGGCATCCTAATTTTGTTTTGAATTCAAAGTTATGATTCTTTCCATTTCTATTGCGAATACATGGTTGTCAGCTCCCCACCCATTCTTTTCCTCGCTTGCCTCCTTCAAAACCCATCTCAAGACCCTCCTCTTCGACCGTGCCTTCAGTCACCCTCCTATCCTTACCTTCCCTGCCCTCCAGCCCTCCTGATCCCAACCACCAGCTCGGCTGCGGATCCCTGACTATCCAGCGCCTTGGGATGTTCTCCTGACATGAAATGTGCTATACAAATATAATTTGTTGTTATCTAAGTTACAACATTGAGACTGGCTGGAGCTTTCTGATAGTTTTCTATTCAAAACATTTTTTTATTTTCCACAATATATTAAGATGTACAGATGAGCACTGTACATGTCTAAAAATACCCACACACCCATAAACACTGTACATGCTGTAAATTCCCACCCATAAGTTTAAACACATATACGTGCATGTATATACTTGTACACTTATACACTAAATGAAATCTTCTTGCTGTTGTTGTTGATGTGCATGTGTATGGGTGTGTAAACATGTAATAATAATAATAATAATCCTTGCATTTGATATAGCGCTTTTCACGTCGGGAGGACGTCCCAAACCTCTTCACAGAACACACTGTAAAGTGAATTGACTGTATATTTGTGGGTGAACGCGGCAGCCAATTGCGCACAGCAATGTCCCACAAACAGTCGTAGATTGAAAATGACCAATTTATTATTGATTTTGGTTTTGGAGGGATTATTATTAGGCGTGTGGGGCAAGTTTCCTTACTCCCACACTCTGGAATGGCATCCTGAAGTCACTCTCTCTCGCTCGCTCCTTCCCACCTCTAAAGCCCACCGTAAGACCTGTTTGACCGCACTTCTGGTCTCCTTTTCCACATTCCAAGCTCTCCACATCCCCAGCTCAGGTTTGCAGTCAGCTACCTGAAGCATTTTGAGACATCCTTCTGACATATTACTACTACTACTAATAATAATGATCCTTGCATTTGACATAGTGCCTTTCATGTTGGGCGGATGTCCCAAAGCTTTCTAAGCTGCTAAACTGAGGTCATGAAAGCCAATTATAATAAATGTAACTTGTTATTATTGTACTCAGGCTACAATTGACCCTTGTTATTTTTCTTTATCTTCTCAGATTGACAAAATTCAGAACCAAATTTTCAATCTCTTGGAAGGAAACCATATACCTTTTAAGTTGGTGGATGTTTCAACAGATAAAGCTTTTATGGAGAACCTGAGGCAGAAGTTAGGAGATCCCAACGCATTGCCACCACAGATCTTTAATGGAGATCAATATTGTGGGGTAAGCTAAAACTTCTTCTTGTGAGTGATATCCATGTTGTAACCAAAAGGGATTACAGGAAGTTGGAAACCAGAATCTATGAACTAACACATCTGACCGACTGAGCTGCAATCAGTCTTCTTCTCAAAATGTGAGCAATAGCAAGAGTTTATGAAATCATTGTGAAAGATCAGAGAACATTTCATCACAGCATGTGGAATACACCATTGACACTCATACATTTAAAATCAGCAGTTGGGTAATGTACTGTTTAATTTTGTCCCTCATACAAGCCTTTGTTACATCCAGGCTCCACTATGCCAATGCCCTGCTTGTCGGCCTTCCCAATTGTTCCCCCCACAAGCTGTAGATCATCCAGAACTCTGCAGCTCATGTCCTCTCCCGCACCAGGCTCTGTGACCCCATCTCATCCACCCTCGCCTCGCTCCACTGACTCCCCATCCCTCAGAGGACTTAAGCCCCTCCATGGCCTTGCCCCTTTTACTGCTCCGACCTGCTAACCCCTTATCAACCAGTTCACTCCTTCCACTCAGCAGGCTCCGGACTGCTCCATGTCTCCCGCCCGGCCCTCCCCACCATTGGCGGTTGGGCCTTCAGCCTCTCTGTCCCCACCCTCTGGAACTCCAACCACATTACCTTCGCCTCGCTCCCTCCCTTGCCTCCTTCAAAGCACGCCTCAAGACCCTCCTCTTCGACTGTGCCTTCGGCCACCCACCTACCCTCTCTGCCCTCCGACCTACCAGATCCCAACCCCCCACCCCCCCACTACCGCTCAGGGCCTAATCCCAATCGCCTTGGGATGTCCTCTGATGTGAAAGGCATTTTACACATGTAATTTTGTATTGTATTGTAGTTAGTATGCAGTTATTGATTCAAGATACTCTAGAATATAAGGAATAAGATTTATCCAGCTGAACATGCTACATAAGTCTTGTTAAGTATAATATTTAATTGAGTTTTACTTGTAATATGTTTTGCTTCAAAAAAAAGACAAAACAGTTCTATTTAGTTAAACTACCAACTGGAGTAAAATCAAAGAAGCCCACAAATAATTCAATCAAGGCACAGCAGTGTCCCACAAACAGTCATGGATTGAGTGACCAAATTATTATTATTTTTTGGAAGGGATTATTACCCCAGGAAAGTGATCCACCAGTCGACTACCAATTGGGTTCCTACTTACTGCTAAGTCAACAGAGATGCGTGTAGTAAGGAAACTTGCCTAAGGTTTCGGCTTGCCTGGGAATCGAACCTGGGTCCTCTCGCTTTCCTTTTACTTAACTTAAAAGTCATTCTACCTACTCAGTTGATCTAGTATGGCATTTATCCTCATATTATTTACTTGCACACATCAGCAAATTGGACATCATTATAAGACGTGCTCTCTTCCAAGTCATTTATGAATAATGTGATCAGCACAGAACCCAGAATAGACTGTGTGCAGCCGCAGAGGTCAAAGCAGGAGATTCCAAAGACTCTTCTGTGAGTTGTCAACTTGTAAGAGTTTTCCTGACTCCTCACTTTGCTGCTGGTGATCTAATTGATTCTATCTGGCGTAAACCATATTGCAACTGAAGCTTTATAACTGCCTAAAGTTCCCACGAATTCTCACCCATTACAGCTATACAATAAGCAAGAGGACAGATTTGTCTTTTTTCAGTGATTTAACTTTTCATGGACTGATAGGTGCATACTTTATTTGTAAACGTATTCTGATTTAAGAAACCACTAATTCTTAAATTCATTTCAGGATTTTGATGCCTTCTTTAATGCTGTAGAAAATGGGTCGTGGAGAGCATTCTTCAAGTTGGATCCAACACAGAATCAAAAATAAGCACGTGCATAGTTTTTTTCAGTTCATTTTTTTCTGTCAGTCCCAGCGCTTTGGGATGCCCTATCGATGTGAAAGGCACAATGCAAATGTAATTTTGTATTGTATTGTATTTTCTTCAAAGTTCATTATTGGATAATTCTCTTTGGGAACAATGCTAAAAGCGCTTTGATTAATTCAAATTCAAATGTTTCACTGGGTCTCATTAAGCTTGTCATTGAGTTTGCTCTTGGACTTTTGTTCAATAAAAAAAGTTTTACTTGTATAAACAGTATAAACATATACCTGTTGAAAATCTTAGAGAATGTAAACATTACAAAATAAAATGAATCTTATTCAATTCCTTTCCAACTCAGGTCTCCATACTATAAAAAGGTTATAGCAGCGATGGAAAGAATGCACTGTAAGATTATAAGGATGATACCACGGCTAGCAGATTATCTTTGTGCCGAGTGGCCTGTTTCCATGCATTACTTTATTTTAATTTTCTAATTTTTATTGTTCCTCCATTTTGCAGAGTTTGAAGTGAGGTTAAAACCTTTACCTGACTTTCACAGATATTTACGGGATTAATCCACAGCAATGTGGATGCCCTGTTCCCTTGGGATCTGCCCATAATGAAGGGAATAAAGTGTTGTCTCTGTTGATTTTATATGAAATAAGCTGTGCAGTCATGACATTTGGATAGATCTTGGGAATCCTAAATCCTATTGGATGAAGGTTCAAACATGACCACAACTTGTCATTGCATAGATAACGTCACCAGAACGCTCTCGCATGGGAATGGGAAATTACTGGTGCGGTGGGAGGTACTCTTTTGAGGTTGGAGACTAAATCATATTGTGAGGTTTGTCAATTCTGCATGCTCAATGTAACAATTTCCTGATCTATTCATTAGGTTATTACCAGCTACACTTTTGGAAAGGCTTGTTCGAACACAAAAAGCAAGACCTATATTTGTATTTTATTACATAAGATTAACATTACCCAATGATATTGGGTAACTTTATTAATAAGTGTTTGTTTTACTCTCACAAACAGTGAGCTGAAAATATTTTAAAAATTGATAGGCCCAGGAAACTGTAAAACTTATTGAAAAATAAAATGGTCTTTTAAAGGCAGGGGAACCACATGTTTTGCAATTGTGTTTTACCCAGTCCACCTCTCAACAGCAATGACTGAATTTTTAAAAAGAATACTAAGGTAGACAAGATAAGGTAGTCATCATTTATCATTCTCCATAATGATTCTAAAAATTGGTCAGTACTGGACTAGCAAATGAGCCCACACCATTGCAGGTGTAAAAAGTTCTCACGTTATAACACCAAGACTCGAAGCCAGGTTTCTTGTTTACACTAATCAAACGGTTTATTGAATAAAGACAAAGTGACAATATAACTGTTACATCAACAGGTAACATTCAACAGTGACATATAATTCGGAGTGTGGGGGAGCTCCTACTCTGGGAGAGACAGCTGTGGACCATGGAATTAGCGAGCGCCGGAATCAATGTTGACAGACGATCTGCTTCTTGTCAGTCTTCTTGTTTCGGATTGTGCTTTTCAATTGCTCTTCTATTGCAGCTTAGCCTTCTTTCACTTTTATACTTGTTTAGTTACGTTTACTCCATCACAAACGTCCTTGACATCTGCACTTCGGTTGCTTTACACTGATTGGATTTTCTTTATCAAGCATGACTCTTGTAGCCTGTTTTAGTCATCGTTAACACTTGTAATTTAATAATAATAATAATCCTTGCATTTGCTTATTTAATTGTTCCTTATTGACCAGTCTGAAGAGAGGCTCAGTTCTTATCTGACTTTGCTGTTTGTCCGATCTCCACTCTATCCACTTGCTGGATCGAGTGGATAGACCCTCTCCCCCCCGCCCCCGATTACGGGTCTGAGAACAGTCTTCTGCTTCCAGTCCTCCCCACCCCACCCCACCCTCCACCACCGCGCCCAGACACGCTTTGTCAATGTCAAATGGGCTCTGCGCCAATGGAAACAATGAGTTCGCAAGTTTCCAGTACCTTGTCAGAGTTTTGCCTCTAAAGATCTGATCATTTCTGGGAACCCAGCACAAATCAAGCGCTGAATTCTGTACTGTTACAAAACTGCATAACAGTGAGTAAAGTGCAAATCACCATCTTTGGTAATAGTTTCATTCCTTTTGCAACATAATTAGCTAATGCAAAAATAGGTCTGTTACCATTGCATACAGAGTGTCACCAGTGGATCCTGTTGTTGACCTGGGTCTTCAGTGGATTCCACAATCCAGACCGCTCTCACGTCCAAACTCAGACACTTCACACACGCACACACACTCACACACACACACGGACCCTTAAATTACAAAATTCAACATCGATTATTCCTTGTGCAACAGATTCGTAATCAACTGTTGCTTCTTAAAATCTTTTAATACATCATCATCATGGTAATGGTATGCCTTGTCATCGAGCTCATCCCAGTCTACACAATCATCATTTTCGTCAATACTAACATTCAGGGTGGGGCTGCCCCTGACCCATGTCCGGATGTTGGCTGCAATTTGACCTCTCCTAATGGAGAGTAATTGTCTCAATTTACCTAATAACCGATTACATTTCTGGTGAGACATTTCAGACCCTTTCTGTCACTATTATTTTGTCATCTACAAGTTGTAAGCTGCCTTTAAAATCCTCACTTTCACACATAATTTTTATTGGGCTGCCCACTTTTTCATCTCAATGTTTGGCAGCCTCAGACTGCCGCAGTATATGATCTCATATAATATTCAACATGACTTTCTAACAAGACAATATGTTTTTCATATCCTTCTTTAGGCTGCAAAACTTCCTGCCTGGGTAAAGCTAATTCTGCTTTTAGAGTTTCAATTTTGCCTTTTATTTTTTATTTCAGAGTCAGTATTTCTCTTTAATGTATCGTCCACTTCTAAGGATCCATGTCATCCTTTTATGAGCCATAGTAAATGCAATACTAATTGTTTATGTTGTTTAGAATTATTTTTTTTCTTCTGATACTTGTTTAAATTCTTCCTCACATTGGGGCCGTGGTCCATCTGAGGTTTCTGCCCCTTTAAAATACTGTTGGACCTTGTATTTAGAAATCCAATCTCTGACTCGGTTTTCCATGGTCTGTTTTATTTACCACTCACTATATGGGATACTTGTGATGAAGTAACCACTTTATCATTGGAAGTCTGTGACTGTCATTCGTTAGTTTCTCTACTTGTCTTTGTGATGAGCTCTGATTCTCACCCCATTATAGTCTGGTTTTTAGACTGATAGTGTTTGTATTACAACATGTCTGACAGCAATCTTTTGATAACTGTCCCATCTGGGTTGCCAGCTGTAAAAAACTCTCATGTTGTAACACGAAAGACTCGAGGACAGGCTTCTGCTTATCTTTTCACTTCCTCATCTCACTCTCCTCTCTTATCCCCTTTCCCTTCTCCACGTCTTTCCACCATCTTTTCCCGCCCTTGAAAAAAGCTTTTCCTTTTGTCAGATCACGTCAAAAAGATCACATCCTCCCGATGTGAAAGGTACTTTACAAATGTAATTTTGTATTGCATTGTAAAAGATTTTCTTCTTCGACTGTGCTAACAGTCACCACTCCCCTCCCCCTGGCTTGATGTCAGGCTCCTCCACTGTTAAGCGCTCTGAGATGCTGCCCCGTGTGAAGAGCGCTATATAAATGCAAGTTGTTGTAAGAACAATAATATTTACAGTCATGGTGCTCACAAAGGATTATAAAATATTAAAATATTTGCCAAATATCCATTATATTGTGTGTAATGTTGCACACATAGAAGACATGATAATAAATTAAACAATTATCAATAAATCCCCAAAGCCTTCGATACTATGCTTAAATAAATATTTATGCACTTTTTAAAAACAAGTTAATTGACATCTTCTTCTGATTCACAAAGAAGACTTTCCCTACATTGAACAGCTGTGTATATGATTTACAATATGTGCAAAATACAGTATCTTTATTCTATGTGCATGTATCAAACTGGTATCATTAAAGTCCTCACCTGTTTGATAAACCCTCTATTGTGTTTAAAAGTTAAATTATATTACAATAGTGATAACAAAATGATAATCTCTTGTGAATATCAAGTATTTAATACTAAGGAAGTGTTGGGAAAATTCAAAGCGTAACAATCCTGCTCTTACATGAAATATTCTGAAATACTGTACACATATATAGTGTATAAAAGGTTTTAGGGGAATGGTTTTGCAATTACTGCTGTAAGCTTAATTATATCAGGTTGACCAGTTTGGAGAAAACAGCAATAGAATTGAAAATAAATGCCACAACAACCTCATTCTCAAAGCTACTCCTAGTTCAGCAACATACAAGGTTTCAAAAAAATGGCGGATTCCATTCTGTCTCCCAATCATCGAGTTTTAGGAGATTCTTTTGCATTTAGGGAAATATATACCTTACATTGCAAATAGCTTCACTGAAATACTATATCAGTGTCTATTCAACATCATGGTGGGAGGAGTGGAAAACATGCAACAAGCTAACCATAGAAGCCAGGAATAAGAGTCTAGTATTTATTTATACAGTACTTTGGAACCGTTATTTAATGAATCCTCCCACTCAACTACTGTTAACTCTGCAAGCCAAAGCCCTGATGAGCAGGGTGGTCCTAGCTGGACAAGCAGTGGGAAAGCTTGCCACAGTGGTATCAATGGCAAGCTATGCGGTTTTAGCTGGTTAGACTCCAACACTACCCCAATGCACACTCTGGAGGCCCCAAGCCTTGCCTCTTACCAACTGTGCTGAAACTCTGGTCCACGCCTTATCACCTCAAGGCTGGACTATGGGAACTCTCTCCTCGCCGGCCTTCCCGACACCTCCCTCCACAAGCTGTAGGTCATTCAGAACTCTGCAGCTTGTGTACTGTCCCGCACCAGGCTTCGGGACCACATCACTCCCCCCCTCGCTCACCTCCACTGGCTCCCCATCCCCCAGAGGATCGAATTCAAGATCCTCATCCTCACCTACAAAGCCATTCACGGCCTCGCTCCCTCCTACCTCTCCGACCTACTATCCCCCTACCTACCTGCCCGTACCCTCCGTTCCTCTGGCTCCGGTCTGCTCCACATCCCCTGCCCCAACTGTCCTACCATCGGTGGCCGAGCCTTCAGCCTCTCAGCCCCTAGGCTCTGGAACTCTATCCCTCAGTGCCTTCGCCGCCTCCTCCCTTTCCTCCTTCAAGACCGGTCTCAAGACCTTTCTCTTTGACCATGCCTTCAGCTCCCCTCTCGACTCTCTACTCCCTCCTCGCTCCCTCCCTTCCCTCCCCTCACCCCGACCATTTCCCCCCTGCTTGGTCCTGACACAACTGTACAGCGCCTTGGGACGTCCTCCTGACGTGAAAGGCGCTCTATAAATGGAATCTTGTTGTTGTTGTGCCTAATACTTTCCAGAATTAGATAAGCAGCATGAGTCCCTCCAGAGAGAGAGTGCGCATTCCATTCCAACAATCTCATCTCAGGAATTTCCATGTGGAAGTGGGATATTTGGAATTCTGTTTGGTTTGGATACTCTTTTAAGTATGGTGATGGGTTTCCGCATGTGTCAGACATCCGGCTGGCCAAAACAAAGTCATGGGTTCAATCAAATAAGTGTTCCTCAGCTACATATGAAGATTAAAGAAAAAAAGAACCACATATATTGGTTAACCTACATTATATTTTATTTTATATTGTTTTTGTGATTAGTTATTTTTTAAGAGATTTCACATTCAAAGACTCACAGAGTTGATAAAACTATGACTGTCAATTCCAGAATACCCAAGTTATTTTAAACCACTTAATTTACGACAAAAGTTAATTTGATGTGTAATTTTTTTTGTGTCATAATTCCTAGGGCTAAAAGCCTTTTCAGAGTTATACTTTGAGGGGCATATACAATAATAATCCTAGCATTTAATATAGCACCTATAATGTTGCAACAACTTAAAATCAGTTTACAAGTAATTGCTGTAAATTGTAATGACTTTATTTGTTGACAGGCACAACAGCCAATTTTGCATAGCAGAGTTCCACAAACAGCCAATGAAGTGATCGACCAAGATTATCTGGAGGAGTGTTGGCCATAAGTCTGACACAGTTCCAGGTACAGAGAAAAACCTTCAGAAGGAAAGAATGTGGAGCAAGTCTAGTCATGTTTCACTGACAAGTGAAGCATTAATAGCAGTAAAGAAAGCCACATTTTAAGGTGGTTCTGATGAGGATTGAGAAATAGTGGATTTAATAGATTGCAAGACAGCTGCTCAGAGGATAACAAGCCATTGTCTTTTTGAAAGTGATTGAGAAACTATGTTTTGTGCAAGAAAGGAATTGGAATCTTTTCGTGATGAGACATACAACATGGATTTTGCTAAGGTTTATAAACATCCGGCTGTAACAAAAGAAAACGTTTGCCGAACTTGCTTTTATGAATCCACAACTCCTTTAAAAAGGTTCTGCTGAAAACCTTAAGGAAGGTCACCTTCTAAAGTATCTATGGTATTTTATAGGAAACAATGCTCAGGGCAATTCAGTTGAAAGCTTGGGGTGAATGTGGCAAGGCAAGGTTAAACCCAGGCTTCCTGAACTACAACCTGAGACTATTATGGAATTGAATGTGATACATTGGCAAGAGAATAGATATTGGCCTGCATGTTTGGTGTTGCTGTTCCAATTCTTCACTTCCTGGTCTTCACAAAGTAAGCCATTTTGCATTTGGTGCTCACCCAGGTGGTGGTGCCTTACTGCTACTATTGGTGGAACCTGGTCATCCATAAAACAATGCAAGGCAGTACAATTGCTGCCTGGTCCTGATTTAGTCCATAGCTGTGACAATTGTCAGAACAACCCTCACACCTACACTGCTGACTTTTCCAATCTGCTTCTCGGCCTGCACAAGGCTGGTAGTGGAGATTTTCAGTGTGGCAGGGATACCAGAGACATTTTAACAAAAGTTTTAGTAGAGGGCAGGAAGCTCATGTTTCAATATTACATTAACAAAAATCAAACAAAATTTAGTCAGTCCTTCACCACTTTGTTGCATTTCTTTTCCTACCTTTTATCCCAACAACAGTTATCGTTTCAAGTGTTGATGTGCCTGCATCCTACAATATTAAGCTTGTGGACTTATCAACAGCAGTGGAAATTACCTGTTTCTGTAACTATTTGCCACCTGCATTAAGTTCACTTTGCCTGCTCTCAGGAACACCACCCTCTGTAGAAATGAATAGGAAATGTGAGTAATTGTAGGATAAGACATGTAGATATCTAAATGGTTTTGGGAATACTCTAACAGGATATTCTTAAATTGAAGAAAAATGTTTTAGAAACACATGCTATATTGCCCTAATATTAGTCACTTGATTGCACCACAATTCTTACAACATGTATTTATTAACATGACTCAGTGATACGTTTTCTCCAATGAAGAGATCTACGGGAATACTGGTTTAGTAAGTGGGATTAAACCTACAACTATCAACACTTTAAGAAGAAAGGTTGTAAGATGACTTCCCCAACCCATTTCTCCACATGTTTACGGTATTTTACTGATTTTAAATCAAGGGAGTGTCTCCTCAATGAATAGCATAACAGTTCACATGTCAGTAAGGACAGCACAGAGATGCTCAGAGATACAATACTGCTCAGGTGAGCTAAACATTTAATAAGGCAAGATGGCAAAAAGCAAACACAACCAACCCCAGTTAACAACAAACTAACTTGACTGTTCCCGTCTAGTTGACATGACCAATGCCATTTTTCCTTCAATATCATCTACTGTAACAAGCCAGGATAGAAAGCAATGCTTGGCGACAGAACACACTTTTATTTATGCTGATCCTCTGAATTGTTTTGACAATGAATAGCCAAGTTTAGAGCCAGCTCTGCACGAGGCAAAATGATTTTGATTGCATTCAATCTAGGTGTGTCTTCTAGGAACTATGGTTCAGACTCCTGTAAAGTAAAAGAAAAGGGCAAGTTTTAGTATTTATAATGTAACAAAATGTAATTCCCTTCAGTTCGATTAGTGACACAATTTTTTTTAGAAATACTAGTATCCTGAGAGTAAACACTATCGATGCACATTCAGATTTCTTTTAATCATAAAATCAGGATCAACTGAGTGGTTCATTTTCTGCTATTCTATATGATGTCCTTTGTCTTTATTCCTCTCAGAGGCTCCGGTTATCTATTGTCCCTCATTTAATTAACATGGTGGCACTGAACATGATCGCCAGCAGAACAATGATATGGGTGTTGTGGAGGCTCAGACATTTGTGATATTGACAGCATCTTAAAACACAAATGGACTGGCTTTTCAGTTTAGTAAAATAGCTCAACGAATCTTCCATAAATAGCATGCTGGTGCCACTTGATTCATTTCAGATTAAATCACTTTAGTTACTCAATTTAAACCTGGCACGTGCTGACTAAGAGTCCAGAGATATTTATCACATGGTTTCTACTTTCTTCAAGGTATGACAGATTGAGCAGGGCTTTCTGAGTATATTGGCCTAAAAGGTAGAATTAGAGAATATGTTGAGAGCATAAGACTACTTGCTGTAGAAAATGGGTAAGTGGAATAAAGCAAGAGCAAAAATATGGAAGGATAGTTTTTATCATTAGGTTAATTTTAGGAAAGATATTTTTGGTAAAATTCCATAGTAAAGTGATCTTCACATAGAGAAAGCCAGAATCTGAACTCAAATGAATTCAATGCATCTTTTTTAAAAAAAAATCTACATTATGGATTAGGTTCATTAGGATTCATCCATCGGACACTTGGACTGAAAAGCATCATTGCATCATAGCAGCGTCTTGGGTGTGATATCCTCACCATCATCTCAACTGTTGGTATAGGGTCGCGGCTTTGACTTCCTTTTTAGCTGACCTGATGCTTCCTAATTTTGTGAGGTTCGTTTTTAAACCTTGATGAAATCCTGGAAATAAAGCCAGTTAGCAGTACATTAAGCGTGGATTTTACTGTGATCAGGCTTTGGATTGCTTGCCCTTAGTGCATACTCTTCAAGTCGTTCATTCCATCGTGCCTCTTTTAGGCAAAGACAAACACAATCGTCAATCCCAGGGAAGCCACCTTTACAAACTTCTCACAGAGACAAACTGATATATTGAATAATAATAATCCTTACATTTGATATTGTGTCTTATCACATCTTCTAGATGTCTCAAAGCACTTCACAGAAGTACTTTTGCTTAATATCTATCACATAAGTTTCTGATGACAATTTGTATTTCATATTGCTGGGTTGCCTAATTTACATACATAACATTAATACAGTGCAAACAAGATTAAAAACTGTTCCAGTGACCAAATCCAGGGATTCTGGAGCGGTGCGGGCCAAAGGGTGAGGATGGGAAGATAACATTGTCTTTGATCATCTTCCCACCCCCACGGCCCCCACCTCTCCTGAACCCAACCCCCAGCTTGGGTGCAACCGTCGACTGTCCAGCGCTTTGGGACATCCTCCCAAGCTGAAAGACTTTATATAAATGCAGTTAGTTGTTGTTAACGGGTATGATTTAGCCAAATCCATTGTTAGCGGGATCATGATCTTGTATATTATTTCTACCAGAAATAGAAATTCCACTTAGTTTCATCAAGGTGAAGAATTTTGCAATCAGCAAAAGTTTATTTAGCATTCAGTGAAAGGTTAAATCTCGATGCAGCTATTTCAAATAATTTTATAAAAGCAAACTGCAATATTTTGTGGTGTATTTTGTGCAAGCAGAACTGGTTCCCATCAAGAAGATTTATTCTAAGTTCAGAAGGGAAACAAAATTTCAAAACATTTCAACAAAAGCACCTGAAAGTCGATAGACTAATCCAGTCTATTTTGAAAGTCCCTATTGTAATAATGTTCTTCAATTATATAATAGGGGTCTTTAGGTGAGCAAATGATTTTAACACCTCTATTAATATCTCCGTCTTGTAAAATTGCTCTCATTCTGTTGTAGGGTTTACAATAGTTTGAGTTGTTGCCAACAGTTAATATATATTAGCACAACAGAAAAAGGCAATTCAATTTGCAATCTTCAACAAAACTATTTGCTTGAGGAACATTCAAAAAACTCAAAAAATGTTTGATGGTTTTCAAGATGGTCATCAAACAAACTCTAACCCATCATTTTAAACAGTACAAGCAAGGACAGCTTGTACCAGCAGCTCATACGCAAGGCATTCATTTTCCTTTAAATGGAAGAGTGAGAATGAGCTAACAGTGTTGGAGATGGTAGAAGGGAGAGATTGATTGTGATGTGCTACCTATAGACAGGTAAATTGTTGTGATCTTTATGTTTCTGGTGTTATACAGCTCTTAAGATCTGATACTTGGAGCACATTGCCAGGTGTGTGTGTGAGCTGTTCTTTATTTCCCCCTCTGCGGGGGGGGGTGCATCTCATCACTGCTCCAGTATAGGTACCATAGTAGAGGACAGGCTCTTTTTTATGAAAGATCATGCACAATAACACTCGGTCAGAATTAGTTGATAGATATGAACAATTCTTGTATCTCATTTCTGCTATAATCAATCACAAAAGCAAAATTAAGAGTTTCTTTACTCCTGCAATTTCATAGTTAGCCAGTAGATGGAGCGTCTGCTCAAGATGGACATTATTATTATGACACTAAATTCATATGTTAAGCAAACAACAAACGGTGGAATCTGTTGGCTTTCATTCAAACATTTACCGACGCTGAAGCAAGAGTTGATAAGCTAAGACATGAAGAGACAGGTTTTCCGCAAGAGTCTGCCTAAATACATCAATAGAAAGTCTAACTTATTTGCTGAGAGAACTTCGATAGAATTTCAAACTTAAGAACTATGGGAAATTAATATTGTGAAGTAGGGTGGGTAGCTGGCCAGACAATTTGGAGGAGAGGAGAAAAAAAGAGATAAAAGGCAATGAAGACACATTTAGCTGTAAAGCAAAGGGTATGGATAAACTCAGAAGAGTAAAAATGCAGAGACCAGCTGCACAATTAACAAGGCCCTGCTTGTAGCTACAGAAACAAAATCTTGCATGTAATTTTCTATTAGAAGCAGAATATAAAGAAGGAAATCTCAAAAGGCCACTTTGTTTTTAAAAAAAGTCCAATCCCTTTGTTATCATCTGGATCACTTCAATTCTACCTGGCAGTGCGACTAATTGTCTGGCATTTGATGTTGGCTATTTGAAAACTGGAGCAACGATCCAGCTTTTGAACTGCTGCTTTCAAAAGACTATCTTCACTGGACAATATCTTGGGGGGGGCAAGATATGGGGAAAAGGAGAAAGAAGAGAGCAGATCATCCTATGCAGATATATCTTGTGATACCTGTGGTTCAGAGGGTTTTCTATATTTTAAGCAGAAAACAAACATTCTTCAGCAAACTAAAGAGTGAGAAAAAGACACTTATTAAAAAATTCTCGGTTTTTTTATTGTTCTACTAATGTTCTGATAGCTAAATTGTTCTGTATTTGAGTTATTTCTTCATGTATTGTACACATCTTGAAAACAGGAGCTCTCAGCTGTCAGCAAATTGCAATGTGTTAGAATTATAATTTTCACTAAAGAGCTTGGAGGGTCAAAATGTCACATGTTCCAGTAAGATCATTATCACTGTACCTTAATCTATGTGGAAGTTCAGAAACAGGGACTAAATTTAATACTTACTTTCTTTTTAAATGGGCTTCAGAAATAATGCCAATTCATCAACATTGCTCATTGGAAATGCAAGTGGTAAGACCAATTGTTTCAATGGGCAAAATTCCCCCAGTCTAAGTTAAAATATAGGTTACTTGCAATCTTGCCACATTCAAGAAGCATGAGAAAATGGTTTGGAGGTGGACAGATCTATATCAAAAAACAATCATGTTTCATCTGCATTGAAATATGGACACAATGAAGCAAAGTCTCACGTGAATACAACAGCAACAACAACAACAAGATTACATTTGTATAGCGTCTTTCATGTCGGGGGCATGTCCATGCAGTTGCCATAACAAAACAACGAGGTAGAATCGAAAAACGTGGGAGGACCATGCAGGTTACGATGGCAGTATTTTTTGTTTTCTCCACTGCTACAGTGTAGTGCGGTGATGGCATTCACAACTACATTACAGCAGATTACCAATATACTATACAGACATGCGTTTTGTTCCATAGTATTTAATGGATAGTGGGAGGAGGTGTCAGGTTTTCCCTTGGTCCAACTTGTACGACTACAAACATGTGGCCAATTGACCCCTAGTAGAAAGCCCATGACCTACTCAAACCATGACAGTGAGAGATAATTCCTCCACCATCTAGAGACAATTCCTTTGTTTGAAGGTATCCATGGTCCCAATGTGTTTTACAGGTTACATCGATGCCTTGTTGGAGCCGTGGACTACACATTCATAACGCTCATAGCTTGCCCGAAGAATGAAGCTGATCTCCAATGTATCTGTTTACATGTTTAATCCCAAGAAATCAGAGGATCTCGTTGTTATCTTCCATAAGTAACAATTCTATAGCCTGTATCATTGGGGATACAGGCTTTTGCCTTGCAGCAGCACAAGGAGTAACTATATTTGTGATTGATTGATGCAAAATGTAGCGTTCTCAGGATTGCTGATGTGAAAACCAAGGTAGTCACATGCATGTCTGCTGCAACTGGTAGATTGGGTAGATGGTGAGGAGCCACTAGGAAAACTACAATGTTGTGCTGCAAGAAGAATCCCATAATTTTCAATACAGCTTAGTAACGGCATTTATTTACATACTATTTTAGCCTCGTTCCCTGTATTTCTGTTTGATATTTCTAGCATTTTAGGAAAAGAATCAGACATTGTTAGCGTGATGCTTTGATACATTGTATATAACTTGGTTTTGGTGCAATAAATGTTTATTGTATATACGTACGAGTGCTAAGGTGCTTTCTCTTTCTACTTCTTACCCATGAACTCTTCCTTTGTGCTTTGGTTCCTCTGGCTATCCGATTGCTAAGGCCCAGGGGAGGGGAGTGAATTGAGCTCTGGAACTACCAAAGGTCAGACATCAAGAGGTAGCTATGGCCCTGCTCCGTTAGCTGAAGGTCTTTCTGTTGGCGTTTCACCTTGCAGCTGCAGAGCAGAGGGTCCAGCAGAGAAGTAGAACCGCTCATTGTCACAGACTGCAGGACATTCCGGAGAGATGTGAAACCTACCCCTATCGAGCTTTCCAATTGCAACTCAAAAGATTAATTACAAGCAGCAGTATCCGAGGTTAGAAGGTGCCTTTGTCTGTATTGCTTTGTCCAGGGTACAAGTTAGGTTTTGCAGCCGCTTTGTGTTGGATTTCTCTATAGCTTGCGTACCTCAACATCTTCAATCAAACTTACTAGCTGGACTTCAGTCAAGTTAAAGTGATGGAGCAAACAGGTTTTCAGAGCTGGGATATCAATTGCCAGCTCTTCCACACTTTAGGGTAAAAGGTCCTGGTGGACACCTTCACTGGCAGCAAAGCTCCCTTCCTTGCTATTTTCAGACATTCATTGCCCATAACATCTGTACGCTGTGCAAACCCAGTGCATGACCCAAACCTCCCTCATCAAACTGTAGTGTGGAAGTAGCTGCCCTGGTGTCTGCAGACAGGATGCCGCTTGGATAGTTCTGTGGGCTGCGTATGCAACTAAAAATGATTTGGGATATCTGTGTTTTCTTGATGTGCATCAATCCCTTGACCAGAATCTGCAAAACAATCACAAAGTTTTTTTTATATAATGAAAACCATTTGGAAAACAGTAATCATGGACTCTTCCTCATTGAACCCTTTATTTGCATCCAACTCATGCCGTGATCTTACCCTCCATTTTGAAGTCCATGATAACAGGCTTGCTTCTTCTACAATCTTGTTTTCATGGATGATAAATTGCTAAGTGATAGGGACTTTTCCTCCTTCTCCAGTCCTCTGCCCACTCTGGGTGTTCTACATTGCCTTTGCCTATGGAAAATTAAGTAGGAAGTACTTGGTTACATTGAGCTGACAATACTTGATATTCCTTTCTTTTTCTTTCCAAATAGTTTGTAACTTAGCTTTGTTGTCCATTCACACAAGACAGGGTAGAAGCATGGGATCCACACTGCCAGGTTCCAGTACAAGCAGCAAAACTTTCAAAGACCCAGGCAACATTGGTAAGTGTTCCCGATATGTAATTGTACTTGGCAATTCAACCACATAATTCACAGCAATACACATATTTGTATATTCTATGGTATACATACACACACACACTTACCGTCACACATTGCTTGAAGTCATGATACTTCTTGCTTCACCTCGATCATGGTCTGTATCTGAGGATTAACCCCATTTACGAAGACGTGTTGATCCTCTCCCAGTTCGTTCTCCTTGGCTGGGCTGTGGCTAGACACCCATCCCCAAACAGTCAGTCCTGACAGGCCATTCCTGCCAGCAGTGGAGGCTGGCTGTTGAGCCAGCAGCGGAGGTTGGCTATTGAGCCAGCAATGGAGGTTGGCTAATGAGCCAGCAGCGGAGGTTGGCTATTGAGCCAGCAGTGGAGGCTGGCTATTGAGCCACCAGTCTGAAATTCCTCTTGCGTGTTTGCTGCTCAGCCTTCACAAATCCACTTTCCACCCTCCAGATTGGACAGGGCTGTTCTTAAACACCAATCAGGCAGAAAATCTCATTTTGTTACTTTACCATTGCCCATGCCTTCATCGCAATGTCTAAGGGCCACAAAGACAAACATAAAGCTTCACCAGAAAGTCAATAAGTTAGTCTTAAACTTTTAGATAAAAATTCTGCAGGAGGTGGACTCTCCTTTCATCAGTTCCAATCCTGTGTCTGGTTTTGGACTTTACATTCCATGATGCTAGTGGTGAGTATGCTCTCCACCTCTGGTACAGTGAGCTGCAGTGAAACATCCCAATGATCTTGTTTTTAAAGATGCGCTTCGGTTCCAGGATGACCTCAAGGAAAAATGGATCCCTGGGATCCTGATGCTGGAACAGGTTTAGGATCCATTGTTTCCTGCTCAGTAAGGCTGGGTTAATGGCACCTGTGTGTACTTACAAGGAGTTCCTTCCTGTACACATTGAATGGGGACCAAGGCAGGTTTAGTACAAACAGTGTTAGAAATTAGCATCAAACTCGAAGGTAAAGCTGGACAAACTTTAATTTGATGGGGGAAAGGAACCTGAAACTTTGCACAATCTAGATTTTCTAAATCCAGAAGCTCCTTAAATAAAGCATTGCAGGTAAGTCACTGAAGAAAACCATTACTCTTATTCACCTGACCACATTCGAGGATAGCTTAGAGAGTTTATTCAGTGAGTAAAGCCACTCAGCTGGAGGTGCAAAGGTGCAAGGTTCACTTCCCAGACTGTGCCAAGTTAGCTGATTTCAGTGGGACAATAATAAGTATACTACAATTTGCCAAAGGTTCTTCAGGATATGGAAGCTTTAATCAGCCAGCGTCCTCCTCCACAATGAGGATTGAATGCCCTGCCAATGCTTGTTGTCAAACATGCATAACAACTATTAGGGAAAGATACTGGCGAGTGAGCATGCAACTGTCCTCCAAGATAAAGTAAAAGGAGTTAAAATGCAAGAAGAGGCCAGTGGATTGCCAAAACAACAAGCACTAAACAACACCAGCCCAATTTCCCTGGGCTTTTCATTCCTAAGCGAGTTTACTCTCTGAACTCTACGCTCAGACACTTTCAAATAAATGGGTTTACCTGTGACATGGGTCTGGATTTCAAACCAAGAAACGTAGAGACGGAATTGTTTTCTTTTGACTCAAAGAAAGCATCGTAATCCTAGAAGCAAAAGAACAGGCCATTAATAGGTATTTCTCTCCCTACCCCCTCCAACTGGGTTAGATTAGGTTGGGGGCAACATAGATGAGAAAGATATTTTGGACAAATTGTGGAATGCTTGGACATCACAAAAATCATACCTGTGAAAGGGTCATCTTCTGCGTGGGGAAAACAGGGCTTGGAAAATAGTTGTTTATACTTAACATATAGTGATGATATAAATCATACATTATCGTCTCAACTGCTTGCAACTTGAAGAAATAAAAATTTGTAGGGGCAAAACGCAGCTTGTTTTTTGAGTAAAGGTGGAAGGAATTAATCCACTTTAGAAGCACAGCCAGGTGTCACTTAGGGACCCAGGAATTTCTTAAAGGTGAAGTATTCTCTTTTTATTGCATTGATAAGTCTAATGGCTTCTGTGCTGAAGCTGGTGCGTGAGAATACCAAGTCTGGCTGTCTGTAAATTTCCAAACCTTCAGGGAATAAACCTTACTGAGTCTTCAAGCACCAAAGTGTCAAAAACCACCACAATCAGCCTTAAACCATCAACTTAGAATCTAAGATCAGGAAATTCTTAAATTCACTTAAAGAAATATTTTCAAGAAGCCTAGAAAGCCGAGTGTCCTTATGTTTGGTTTGTTTATAGGGAGCAGTCTATTAGTTTGGAAATCGGAGCAGGAAACTGTTTATGTTAAGGGACAGACCCATTATCTTAAAAGTGCTAGTCTAGCTTCTTTACACTGTTTGCTGTTTCAGGAGGAAGCGTAAATGAAGAGCTGCTGCCTTCCTTTCTTCTCTCCTTGCCCTCCTCTGGTGACAGCAGACTGCTCACTATAAATAAACCAAAGTAAAGGACAAGCCAATGGCAATTCTAGGCTTAATAAAATTATTTCTCAAAATAAAGGAAATCACATCTGTGCTCTCTATTGTTTTCAAAGAAGAAATCTCTGGAGAGTAGCATATTTATAAGTCTCATCTGTTTCATAAGGGGATGGATAGCATCATTTAGCACTATTGCCAGCATAAGCAAACCCACACCAATAACACTAGGGTACCTATGCATTCAATCTACTGGACACTCCTCCAAGTAATATGAAGCTGTAGAATGACCACATCATTCTTAAAATAAGCATAGTACATATTTGTAGTACTGTATGTGTATTTGTCTGTGTTTAACTGTACTAAGACAAAAAAATCTAATTATAACTAGTTTCCTTCGGGGCACAATAACTCAGAGAAATCATTTAATGAGATTTTTCAAAGCTGTAATATATCTGAAACGATTTGATTTGAAGGAACTCATTCGTTTTCCCGTTGTCCTCCCCCATCCATTGCCCTACAGCTCAATAAGGAGGCTTTAATGAATCGCAAAAACCCCACAGCGATGCCCCATTTCTCTAAAGGATTTTCTGCAATGCTATAATTTTAGCATGGAGCAATCCATTTTGCTGTCACGGATTCACCAGGATATTATGCCCATTACACTTGCAGATTTCCCTTGAGAGAACCATTTCCTGCAGCAATTTGCCACGAGGCTGTCATTGCTTAATGTGGTGTTTTGAAATATATGAATTTTTTTCTCCGTCAACTACTTAGAATCATAGGAAGTTTAATACACAGAAAGAGGCCATTCTGCCATTGTGTGGGGGCTTGTGCGTGCTCCACCACTGGAGCCATCTACTCTAATCCCATTTCCAGTGCTCATTTCTCATACCCAGTAAATATTATGTTTCCTCAAGTACTTATCCAATTATCTGTTAAGTGCTGCTATGGACTCAGCTTCATCAGGCCTTTGTGGCAAGGCATTCATTCCTTATTCTAATAGCCCTCCGTGTAGAAACTTTCTTCTAACATCCCTTTTTTTTCCTCTTTCTCCTGATAATCCTCATTTTATGCCATCTTGCTACTTATTTGCGATTAGTCAAAATAGTTATCATTTAATCTATCAAAAATCATAATATTGAAAACATTGATTAAATTATTCCTTTCACTTGACACATTGAAGAGCAGTGACACACAGGGAAATGCTACCAAAACTATTAACAATACTTCCAAAAAACCATACACCTGCCAATTCAGGCTACTGTTTTGAGTTACTTGAAATTCTCCGTTTTCTACTGCATTTGCAATTGCAACAAGCATTCAGCAGTGATTGCTGAAATGATTATTGATTTGACACTTTCCACATCTCTTTTATAACATAAAAGCTATTTCAGTATCTTTCACATCCATCACAGCACACATGAGCTAAAAGGCCCTGTGGAAAACAATGACTCATTTAACAGCTTATTGTCAGATACTAACTTCCATAATAATAATCCTTGCATTTGATACAGTGCTTTTCACGTCTTCTAGACGTATCAAAGCACTTCACAGAATGTACTGTAAAGTGAATTGACCGCATATTTGTGGGCAAAACGTAGCAACCAATTGCGCACAGCAGTGTCCCACAAACAGTTGTGGATTGAGTGACCAAATTTTTTTTTAGGGATTATTATCCCTGGAAAAGCAATCCGCCAATCAACTAACAACCGGGTTCCTACGTACTGCTAGGTAAACTGAGGCATGTGGAGTAAGGAAACTTGCCCAACATCTCGGCTTGCCGGGAATCAAAACTAGGTCTCTCACTTGCCAGGCGAGTGCTCTAACCACTGAGCGATTATAATAAGAGAATTTCATACAATTAAAAATATCAGCAATAAGTGAATGCCAGCAGTTGTGACAAAAAGTACATTTACTAGGCATTTTAATGCAAGATGGCATAAGATCATAAGGATGTTTTATTAATAATCCAAGAGTAGGATAATGTTATAATAATCCTTAGAATCGTTATAGCACCTTTCACACCTTGAACCTCTCAAAACGCTTCACAGTATTGTGTAGTGTATTTTGTAGGCAAATGTCAAATAGTATAGCAGTTAAAAGAAACTTGCTCAGTTCAACTCAGTTAGTGTTGCTCTCATCTCTGCCTCAGGTTTGCATCGATCGAAGCTGACGCTGTAGTGCAATACTGGGGGAGCACTGCTTTGCTGGAGGTTCTATCATTGAGATATGTTGAACCAAAGTTCTGTTTGTTTACAGGTGACTGTTAAAGATGAAATGACACTATTTGAAAAGAGAAGGGAGTGTCCAGTTGGACAGGTCTTTAATTTTGAAAAGCTGCCACCACCAGCGGTTTATTTAACCATGGATGTGTACCAAAGAGGCCCTTCTGTAAGCTTGTGTCCAGTATCATGGGCCGACTTGAGCACAATAATGAATTGAAACAAATCTAGGTTTGGTTGATTTGATTTCTATTGAGTTAAAGTAAGCGTCAGTACAGTAAACACCCAAGTACACAGAGTTCTTTCTGAGTTGAGACTCGCTGTTTGTATTCCAGGAACCATGTGTTCATTGCTTAAACAAAAAATAACTAACATGCCCAGAGAAATGATGCACCATCCTACCCCATTGTTAAGACCAAGACATTTGCTTCAGTACAAACAAACCAGACTACATTATTTTGATAAGATTTTCTCAGGTACAGGTTATGCCATATTACATTGAGGCTGTTTTTTTTTAAAAAGTCAGAAAAAGGTACTGAATGAAGCAGAAAATTGTAGCTTGTGACTGAATTCACACGAACCATAAGCACATCCCACAAATGAAGTTCACCCTCCATTTTATGCCACTTACTTTGGATTCAATAAATTCAGATTCACTGCCTCAGGCAGGATTTGCACAAGCTTTTTACTCTGCCACTGAGCCTATGTCTGCTCTACTGTGGAATAAGAACTAACAGTGCAAACAGCTAATCGCCCTGCAGTAATGCTGGGGCTGGCACAGGGCCCAGCTGCAGAATCTGTCGCTCATTTTAGTTGTAGGCTCACAGCTGCTAATTACACATTTACCGGACATCCCACTGAAAATATAAACCCTGAACTGATCAAGAGGTCATATGTTCTTCCTGATCTCTCTCCCTAAATTTACGCAATTTGAAGAGAATCAATACATGGGTGCGTTAGTATTAAAGGAGAAGTATATTCAACTGGCTTTGTCAAGCAATGTAAACAGGAGGTATCAGTGCATCTCAGATGCCCTTTAATATGGTGTTTTATGCTTTAAAACTACAGATCAGCATGTTTGAGACAGCCTGAGAATGCATTTTGTGTAACCCGCTCCCCAACACTCCTCCAAGGAGACACCAGGAGAAACAACCTCTGGCACTTTATATGTTGAAATGTCTGAAAGCACTTTACACTGTTTACGATTTGGTTAAACAGCTTTTTTGTGTAGGCAAACAGTTTACATACAGCAAACAGTCATCAAGGAGGTTTATTTGCCAGGATACTGGAAGAAGTTCCCTTCTCTTTTGAAATAGTGTCCTGGGATCGTTAACGTTCCACAACAACAACAAAATTACATTTATAGAGCGCCTTTCACATTGGGAGTATGTCCCAAAGCGCTGAACAGTCAGGTGTCGGGGCCCGAGCATGGGGGAGGGATGGTGTAGGGGTGAGGGAAGGTAGAGAGGTGGGAGGGAGACCAAAGACACGGTCAAAGAGAAGGGTCTTGGGACCAGCCTTGAAGGATGCAAGGAGGAAGCGAGGCAAAGGGACCGTGGGATGGAGTTCCAGAGTGTGGGGGTAGAGAGGCTGAAAGTCCGGCCACCGATGGTAGGGCGGGTCGGGCGGAAAACATGGAGCAGGCTGGAGCCTGATGAGTGGAGGGAGCGGGCAGGTTGGTAGGGAGTCAGCAGGTCAGAGAGGTAGAAAGGGGCAAGGCCATGGATGGCCTTAAAGTGAGGACAAGGATCTTGAACTCAATCCTCTGGGGGATGGGGAGCCAGTGGAATCGGGCGAGGGTGGGAGTGATGGGGTTGCGGAGCCTGGTGTGTGAGAGTACATGAGCTGCAGAGTTTTGGATGATCTGCAGCTTGTGAAGGGAAGAGTTGGGAAGGCCAATGAGGAGGGAGTTCCCGTAATCGAGCCTTGAGGTGACGACTGCGTGGGTGCGGGTTTCGGCAGCCTGAGGGGTGAGGCAGTGGCGGAGAAAAGACAGTTCAGGGTCAACTGCAGAATGGGCATACGGGAGCTCAGTTTAACATCTCATTTGACAAACAGCACCTCCAACAACAAGGATACACTTCATTGGAGTCACGTAGGACTCTGAGCCCTGTTCAAGTGAGATCATCTATGAGTACTCCAGACCACAGTTCCATTGTGCCCATTATATTACTATAATCAAAGTGAATTCTGCAAAAATTGTGTTCCCAGTCCTCTAAGCAGCCCTTTTTATTGTTGATTGTCTCTAACCTCCCTCAAGCCCAAATCCACTGACTTCTGCAAGGTTACTGTTCCATAGACAACAGTCACTTTATCCAAATGGCCATTCCTCATATGTGAGCCCAGACAGCAAGTGCTAGCATGTTATTAGACACCAACTCTGGGGTGCATCGTTGTTACTGTCCTAACCCCAAATCACACATATTCTAGCAGAGGTCATTTGATGTTGATCAAGAGCAGGATTCCTGGCTCATTTTCCACCTACCTAATTGAGAGGGCACTGAAGCCAATTGTCCCACCCCAACTAAGATTAAGTAACACAGTAACGACCAGGAACTTTTGATCAGTGCGGCATCAGAAGGATGCTTTTACCCACCAGAGCTTCAGGAAACTCCTCAACTGGCTTTAACAGCACAGCACTAATATGTGCAAATTTGTTTTTTTATAATTGGTACTATCCATTATATTATATTATATATTAGATACTTCAGATTAGCATTAGCCCGTTTTGCTCATTTAACTAGGACCCTGTTTAAAATCTATCATGTAGTTATTAGAGAACAAAACCCTTTCCAAAGAGACCCAGGAATGAAGAATTAACTGAGCAAATCAGAAGCAACTTGACACTTCAAGTTACTTAATGTCAATTCTGAATCTCCCCCCACTCCCTCAACCCCACACAATTTGTTTCTTCAATGAAATTTTACCTTAATAGTATATTAGCTGTAGAAATCCCCTGAAAAAAACACCAAGCCCAAGATTGACAAGACAACCAATATTTTCTTAATCCATACCTCTTTAGAATTCATGATTCTCCATAAAGCTCTCCAAATGTCTTCCAAAAATACACGTTTTGTACATATCATTATTAAGGGATGATGTGTATAAATAAGTAGTAGCCATTGTACCATAATGTTTTTAAGGAGAATGGGACTAAATGGTTTGCTCTTTCAGAGAGCCAGCAATGACATAATGGGCTAAATGGCCTCCTCCATAATTATAATTCCTAAAACTGTGTGCATATATATTTATATATACATATTATATAATTCTATTGTTATATAAATAAAGGAGATCTACTGCAAAGATCAAATACTGTATTACTGATTTAGTAAAACAAAATACAGTTTCAAAGTTAAAAAATGCCAATACAGGATATCATACCCATGGCATTGCGTGATATTCTTTTAGGAAGATGTAAACAGCAGTGCTCTATTATAGCTAGATCAAGTAAAATGTTCTCTAGCAACTGCATTATCTACACATTGCCCTTTGCCGCAACACACAATCCTGCAAGAAAGAGTTTTCTTATACAAACTGCTACTGAATGAAAAACACAGGAGAGCTTACTGCTGGGAATTGCCAGGGACAGAGACAAGGAATTAGGGTTCATGTTCAGAATCACCATCAATCCTCACTGCCTTGTGTTCCATTAAGTAAAATTCAAGAACATACTGCTGGACTTTACATTAAACAGGATCTGATCAGAAACCAAATGTTTCTGGCCTCTAATATAGGTATTTTTCAACTGAGACCATAAATTTGCTTCTTTTAAAAAAAATCTGGAAACAAATACTTGTTTGTTATGGTTTGAAAATAGCCACTGGGAGCAGAGATAGATTACTCCCATGATTCAGTGATTACATAAATGCTATGGGCTTCATTTTTCATTATTTACACTGATGCTTTGAATTCCACTCAGGCTCTTCAGGTAGGTTGGCTTAAATTGGGAGATTATACTCACTGCCAGTATTGCATCCATAACAGTCTCTCCTCCCTTCCTGAAGGCTTTGATTCAATTTCCCTTCTACTGTCTGGCTCCCCATCACAAATCATTAATGTGCAAGCCTTGTCAGCGAGTATAGGCTAGGTGTCTGATCACACAGGGGCAAAACACCAAGCCCAGTGCTGTTCCTCACCATGCACCTTCCAGCAGAGGTCTTGAGATATATTTGAACCACACAAGCAGAGTGGTAATGGATCGTAGATGCAATTCTCTTCACACCAAGCAATCATGCACTCTATATTGGGTAGTGGAGGTGATAGAGCCAGGTCTCCACCAGTATTGTCCTGGATTTTCCATAAGGAGAAGTGCAAAGATAGTCCAAGAAGTGATGCTTTCCTCTCCCCCCACAGCACTACAGACAAGGTTGCAAATTCAGGTCTGCTGGTGGTAGCAGGTCACAGGAAAAATATAATATCAAACCTGTATCTCACTACTCTATGGTGCTAGGAACTACTCCTTGAACAAACAGTTTCAATGTTGCCTTTCCTGTTTTTAAAGAAATTTCTCAAATTCACAAATGGCTGTTCTTTTCTTCGGTTTGAATATTCATAAAACCACCTGCGTTCATTTTCGAAGTGTTACAACACAGTCTGCCCCCTTGTAACGTGTTTTGAATCCATTAAATTTAGGCTCCTAACAAGTCTGCCAAATTAAAAATGCCCACGGCTGACTTTCAGGTTGTTTGGTCACCGTCAGTCCAGGAAGCTGAAAGTGTAGTGAGCTTCCAGTATAGAACAAATCCACAATCCACTTGTTTTACAAACAGACTCCTGTATAATGAGCAGGACAGCACAATGTAGGTAATCGCAGGTGTATTCCTAACCCTGAGATATAGATAATTACAGGTATATTCAAATCTTATTATTTCTGTTGCACAACACAATGGATCGTCAATCCACTGTAACAGTTAGTAAAGCCAGCACATTGCTTGATACAGGCTACAGACTCCAAAGATTTATAATTAGTCTGTGATGAAGTCGTTGGGCTCTGCTTGTCTTGTACAATTTTCAATGGTGCATTTAGCCAGAGGTAGGGAATTTAGCTGCTCAGGGTCCTGATAACTGCCCAATGACATTTGCTAGAAATTCACATAGGTGAGGATAGGATTGGACATGGCAATGCTGTCCCCTGTTTGATCAGCCGGCAAGTAGCCTCTAAATAATCTTTTTCAGTTTAAATTGGTGAAATCTGTCAATACTAGACAATAGGTTGGAGAGAGATGTATACTTACTCCACAATATGTATCATTGTTGAATATCTGAGGTGGGAGCGGATTTCCAACAGCAGGTTGCTTCTCCTGTGGGATATTGTTGTACATCCATCGCCTCTGGTCTTCTGACATTGTGATGTCAATCTCTTCAAATTCAATCTTGTTGGATTCCAAGAATCCCACCACATCATGTTGTCGCTTCTTGATCTGCAATGGAATCAGAGCCCAGTTAACCTTCATCCTCATCCAATTAGCCCCCTCTCTCTCTCATGGACACAGGATATAGCTTCAAGAATTGGCCTTAGTATGATGCTTTCCTTCAGCTCGTTGCTCCAATGGCCTAGAAGCAGAATGCTAATGACCTATAACTGTATGATAACAACAACAAATTACATTTGTATAGTGCCTTTCATGTCGGGAGGCCGTCCCAGGCACCGTACTGTTAGCACGGACTGCCATATTGTTTTCAACCATATTTTTCATGTTGGAGAGGAAATGAATGGGACAACACATGACAAAAACTGGATAACCGGCAGTTTCAGTTGAAAACCCTTTGAAAGTAATAATAATATTTGCATTTGGTATAGCGCCTTTCACGTTGGGAGGACGTCGCAAAGCACTTCACAAGATTTATTGTGAAGTGGAGTGACTGTGTACTTGTAGGTGAACTCGGCAGCTCGATCGTGCACAGCAATGTCCCACAAACAGCCGTGAAATGAATGACCAACTTTAGTTGGGGGCTTATTGGCCAGAATACCAGGAGAAACTATCTTCTCAGATATGGAGGTATCTATGTGTTGCAGGGTTCTGCTCTCAGCTGAAGTGGATGTGAAATAACACAAGACTGACTTTTAAAATAAATAACAAAACAAAACCTAGAAAAATTCTGAGGCTATTACTAAGAAACTCAGTCTTCAGGATCCAATTTGGGAGTTGTGAAAACCATGTGTAAATGTGTTGAGGAATTGCAGAACCCCTTAATTGATGATTTTGCACTCATTTTCATTGGTTAACTGCATAATTTAGGGCAATTTCCTCTGTGCACAAAAGTTTACACTCCTTGTAAATTAGACCTCATTACTATTGGAGCTTCCTTGATGACTACACTATTAAATTGCAAATCTTCCTGTTGTCTTGTGCCATATGGGACACATAGGTCCCAGGTTCAATCCCAGGGGTCGCTCTCTCTCTCTCTCATTTGTTAGAATGACCTTTGCCTGAAAGGGTTTGTGTGGATGTTGGGTGAAGATAACATTAGACAGTTGGATTTCCCATCCTTTTAAAAAAAAGTGGAACTAAATTGGAAATGTAAAAAAAATGAACAATAACTTGCATTTATATGAGGCTCTTTACATCAGGTAGCATCTCAGAGCACTTAATGGCATAATTTGACGCTAAGCTGGGGAGAAAGGGGAGGTAACCATAGGCATTGGCAAAGAGCAAAGTCTTCAGGTGCGATTTGAAGATGAGAAAAGAGGGGGGTAAGGCGGAGAGATTGAGGCAAGGCGTTCCAGAGGTAAGAATCATTGTTGGCATAACCATGACACATCTGGCTCATTTTAAAATTACTTAATACGTACATTTAATCTATCTTGGAATGAATGCAACTATTCCTTTAATTGTTCTCTTGGGTCACATACATGGAACAAAAACGCACTTTAATCATTAACTTCTAGTCCAGTTTTCAGATCAGCACTGAAGCAGGTGATCTGCCCCACCCCCTCCCTACTTCACCCCAGTCATAATACAGAATTCTCTTTGATTAAGAGTCGATCAAAAATCCTTGCATTTGATGTAGTGCCTTTCATGTCAGGAGGATGCCTCAAAGCACCTCACAGGATATACTGTAAAATGTAGTGACTGTGTATTTTGTAAGTGATTCTTAAATACTTATCACACATTATACCACGCATGTACAGAGCACTATAAAATTGCAACTTTGTTGATGTTGAATGAGGATTATTCAACAACAACAAAATTGCATTTATATAGGTTGTGAAAGGCGCTATACAAATATATATCCCAAGGCACTGGACAATCATTGTTTCAGACCCGAACTGGGGGTCAGGATCAGGGAGGGTGGAGGGGGTGGGTGGGGAAAAGGAGGGTGACCGAAGGCATGGTGGAAGAGGAGGGTATTGAGATGAGTCTTAATAGAGGCAAGGGAGAGGGCGAAGCAGAGAGACTGCGGAATGGAGTTCCAGAGGTTGGGGGTAGAGCGGCTGAAGGCCCACCCGCCAATGGTGGGACAATCGAGGTGGGGGACGTGAAGCAGGTCAGAGCCCGCTGAGTGGAAAGAACGGGAAGGCTGATAGGGGGCTAGGAGGTCATAAGGGTAGGGGAGACCAAGGCCATGGAGGGCTTTGTAGGTGAGGAAGACCAGGATCTTGAACTCTATCCTCTGTGTGACGGGAAGCCAGTGGAGTTGGGTGAGAATCGGGGTTATAGGATCACGGAGCCTGGTGCGGGAGAGGACACGGGCTGCCAAGTTCTGGATGATCTGCAGCCTATGGAGGGAGGAGTTGGGGAGGCCGACAAGCAGGGAGTTTGCGTAGTTGAGCCTGGATGTTATGAATGCATGTATGAGGGTTTCGGCGGCCTGCAGTGTGAGACAGTGGCGGAGCTGAGTGATGTTGCGGAGGTGGTTCAGTATTCAATGTTCAGCGCCATGTTTATTTTTATTTCCTTGCTGCTGATTTTTTTAAAAAAATGATTTCATTTACTCAGGGAAACATGGCCAAAATCTGTCTAAGCTGTAAACAGTGTTGTAAGCGATCACTGCTGGCTGGCACAGGCACAGAACAGCGTGATTAAAACATGAACTTTGAGAACAGCAGGATTGGCAGAAAAAAGAAACATCGGTTTATACATGCGCTTTTAATAATACAAAAGTATAAAAATCAAACAGAAATCAGTGAGCAAATTAACCTTAGTGAAATACGTTGGTATTTATAATAACCCTTGCATTTGATAAAGCACCTTATCAGATCTTCGTGACAACTCAAAGCGCTTCACACAATATGCTGTAAAGTGAATTAACTGTATATTTTGTGGGTGAAACATGGCAGCCAATTGCGCACTGCAGTGTCCCACACACAGCCTTGGATTGAAGTGACCAAATAATTTAAAAATTTATTTAGAAGGAATTATTACCCGCAGAAAAGCTATCCGCCAATCGACTAACAACCGGGTTCCTACTTACTGCTAGGTAAACAGAGGCATGTGGAGTAAGGAAACTTACCCAACATTTTACGCTGCCGGGAATCAAATCCAGGTCCTCTCGCTTCCAAAGCGAGTGTTCTAACCACTGAGCTACAGGACTCCACAGGATTTGTAAGCTACTGGACTTGTAGTTGCCATACAAGTAGAACAACTCAAATGTAGTAAACCACAATCTAAAAAATCCAGATGTAAAAGTGCTTATCAAATTGGTTGTGATCCTAAAATCTTACCTTTGGGTACAGCGATATTCTTAGTGTCCCATTTGTAATAAGTTGGCTACTTTTCTTTCCATTAGTATGCAACTTTATCATCTTCGTTCTGTAGCCACAAACAATGAAACAACACACTGACTGACCTTGGCTCCAATTGGCCGTTTGATGTTAATAATATATGAACACTTATCTTGGAACTCTACACTGAAGCAACTTATAGACAAAAAGGAAGGATAAAGATTACAAGCGGAATTCAAAAGGGGGATATGAATGAAACACAGAAGATAATGCAATAGCCAGAAACACTGATCAGTAAATAAGAGATGAAAGAAAGGCCTTGACTGATAATTATCCCTAAACTCTAGAACTCCTTCCTGGATTCCCTCCAACCTCTCCCTCCCACACCTTGTTCAAGATCCATCTCAAGACCAATATCTTTGACCCTGCTTTCAGTCATCTTTCCTTTACTCGCCCCCAGCTCAGATGCCCAGCCATCAGTGCTAAGCACTTTGGGATGCCTTCCCACCCACCCCCAACCTGCAAGACACTAGATCAATGTAAATTTGTACTGTAACAGCTTAAAGAGACTGAGTGTTGACTGAAATGTAATAGTTGTTGGTGGAATAAGTCAGCTTCAAAGTGAAATACAGACCCAGGTTTATTAGACAGATTTTAGACAGTACAATGAATCCACACAAGGCCTTCACAATTGCACCACTGGGCTCTGGTGTGAATTGTTCATTTTTCCCTGGATAAATGAAAGAATAATTCAGGACAACCCATTTATGATATCCGACTCAGGAATAGCACAACTTCGCTTATGGAGCCCGATCCCCTGTACTAGCTGGAAATGTTGTCTACCAGGCTCCCAGCACATGACAAAATGACCAACTTCTGGGTTGTCAGGTCATCACAAATATTAATTTCTCACACAGGACTTGATGTCAATGGTGACCCAGACAACAGCCGTTTTATAATAATAATAATAATCCTTGCATTTGATATAGCGCTTTTCACGTCGGAAGGACATCCCAAAGCGCTTCACAGAATATACTGTAAAGTGAATTGACTGTATATTTGTGGGCGAACGCGGCAGCCAATTGCACACAGCAATGTCCCACAAACAGTCGTAGATTGAAAATGACCAATTTATTATTGTTTTTGGTTTTGGAGGGATTATTATTAGGCGTGTGGAGTAAGGAAACTTGCCCAAGGTTTCGCCCTGCCTGGAATTGCACTCAGGTCTCTCACTTGCAAAGCGAGTACTCTAACCACTGAGCTATAGGACTCCACGAAGTTTTGCGCACTTCGCTTGTAACACAGCCTCTGATATTGGACCCGGACGACCACATCATCACGGGGTTACTGTGAAACGTTGATTCAATCTGAAACATTGATTCACATTTCAATATATAAACACATGGGGGGGGGAATCCTGCTACATATACATATTTATAAATTTAAAAAAAGTGGTTTTGCAGGCAGGAAAAATATTACAGCTGAAAATATCAAGAGAACTTTATACATGAATGAAATATTTTATCCTTGCACTTTATTTAGAGCTAAGTGTCGAGTGCTGCAGAGTGATACATAGCACCTTATCAGAAGGAGGCACGTCATCAAAAATATGCTAAAATTACCTTTCTTAATCCCACAGCCTTGCTAATTCATTATAATTTACCAAATTTAAATTCATTTTACCCCCTTTTTTAAAAAAATGTCTTTCCGCAGATATTGTTAACCCCAATAAAATTATGGTACTTTGCCTTCCCT